CATGTGCCCCGACTGGGAATCAAACAGACCTTTCAGTTCAAAGGCCGGTGCTCAATCCACTGAGCCACACCAGCCAGGGCTCTCATCTCTTTGTGGATGTATTTCCCAGGATTTTGAAGTGTATTTCCTAGAGTGTGCATCTCTCTGGTCTATTTTGATGTATGTTGAAGGGTGGGCAGGATCTGATCCCTTTGCGGGCATATGTCCCATGGTATGTGCTCTCTGATGTTTTGCAGGTGTGTCATAAGATAGGCGGTCTCTTGTGATTGTGGGTGTATGTACTAAGATCCGAGTCCTCTGACTTCTTTTTCGGTTAACGTCCCAGGATGAGAGATCTTTCATCCAGCTCTGTGTGTCTTTCCAACTTGCAAGCTCTACTGTCTGTGGGTGTACATCCGAGGGTGTGAAGTCTCTGATCAACTTGAGGGTCTGTGTCTCAGGCTATCAGATTTATTTGTGGGCGTACGTTAGGATGTGAAATGTCTGATCCCTTATGGTTGTATGACTCAGGTTGTGAAGGTCAGTTCTTGCATATTTGTCAACAGTGTGTGGTCTCTGTCTGTGGCTCTGTGTCCCAGATTGCTAGGTTTTAACCTATCTTCTTTGTCCCAGCATGTGAGGTCTCTGAGGTGTTTGGGGTTTATGTTTCATGATTTGAGTCTCTGGTCTCTTTGTGGGTGTAGGTCTCAATGTGTGAGGTCCCTGATCCATTTAGTTTATTTCCCAGGGTATGAGAGCTCTGATCTGTTCATGAGCGTATGTCCCAGCATGTGAGAGGTCTGATTTTTTGATGTGCATATGTCACAGGGATTGAGGTCTATGATCTGTTTGTGGGTATATGTCCCTGGATGCTGTTTCTCTGAAATATTTGGGGGTGTATATCTCAGTTTGTGTGGTTGGTATTTTTGTGTGTATGTCACAGGATGTGAGATCTGTTCTTTTGGGGCGTGTATTTCCTAGAATTTGAATTCTTTGAGCTGTTTTTGTGTGTCTGTCTTAGGGTATGAAATCCCTGATCTGTTTGGGTGTGTATGTCCCACGATTTGAGGTCTCTGAATTATTTGATGTTCTGTATCCGGCAATTAATTCTCTGATACGCTAAGTCTCAGAGGAATTTCTCAATCCTGGATTCAAGGGTTCTGAGCTTTTTCTGGTCTGCATTCCAAGGGTGAGTTCACTAAGCTGTTTGGGTGATTGTCCTGGAATACAGGGTCCCTGAGCTCTTTTGGTTTAAGAGTTCCTTGACCTGTTTGGGGTATATTTTCAGGTATGATGTCTGTTCTTCTTGGGAGGTCTCAGCCCAGAGTATATCTGACTTCTTAGGGGTTTATTTGAGGCTTCCAAATGGAGGGTGTGTGTGTGTGTGTGTGTGTGTGTGTGTGTGTGTGTGTACATGTGTACATATGCTCCAGTTAGTTTTCTGAGCTGGGGGAAACTAGTTGGGGGTCTTTGTTTCGTGTGTAAAATCTCTCAATGCTGTAGTGGTATCTGTGCAGAATTTGATGTCTCTGAACTACTTATAAGTCTCTCCTTTCAGGTACGAGGGCCCACAACCCTCAGATGAGGACTCTGATGTGTTTGGGTGTCTGTGCTCAGGGTGTCACCCCTGTGAACGGTTTTAAGCCCATGTCCTAGGGAATGAGTTCTCTATGATATTCTGGCTTTTGTCCTTAGGTCTGACTTTTCAGAGCAGTTTCAGAATCTGTTTCCCGAGTTTGATGTGGTTCTGTTGTTTCAGACCTCTGAGGTGTATATCCCAGAATGTGAGATCTCTCATCTCTATATCCTTTGGTGGTGAGGTTCCTAGCTGTTGGGGTGTGTTTCCAAGGGTACAGTAGTTCCTACTGAGGGAGTCTGTGTTCCAGGGCATGAGGTCTCTGATTTACTTAGGAATATGTTTCCAGCATTTGAGGTCTCTGAGTATTTTGGGGTTCTGTTACCAGTTTATGATGTCTCTCAGGTGTCTGGGGGCATCTGTGTCTGGGCAATTATGTCTCTGAGCTGTGTCCTAGGGTGCAAGTTTTATTAACTCAAGAGCATTTTGGCATTGTATAATGTGTGGGGTCTCTGGAAAACCTATGGGTCTGCTTTCCAGATTGTGAAGTTAATGAACTGAGGGTTTCTGTCCCATAATGTGAAGTACTTGAGCCATGTGGGCATATGTAGCCAGATGTGCTGTCTCTGAACCGTTTATGTGCCTGTCCCCCCTCTCCTAAGTTAGAAGTTCTCAGAATTGTCTGAGAACCTGTGTCCACAATGATGCGAGGTCCCTAAGCTGTTGTGGGTCTTTGTCCCAGTTATGAGGTCTCTCTGCTGTTAGTGGCAGACTTTGCACAGAATGTGAAGTTTCTAGGTTGGTGATCTGTGTCCATGAGTGTCATGTGTCTGAAATCTTTCTGGATATGAGCACAAAGGGTGAGTTCCATAAACGGTTCTGAGGTCTGAGTCCAGGGTGTGATATTTCTTAATCATTTGGAGGTCTGTACTTAGAGTGTGAAGATGCCAAGCTATCTGGGGACTTGAGCCCAGGATGAGGTTTATAAGCTGTTTGGAGTCTATGTCCAGGTTGTGTGATCTCAGAAGTGTTTGGGATCTGTATCACAGGGTGTGAAGTCTCTAAACTATATAGAGGATTTGTATCCAGATTTTCAGGTATTTGAGCTCTTCCATGAACTGAGTAAGGCCTCTGAGTTTGGGGATCTGTCTCAGTATATGAAGGCTCTGAGCTATTTTTAGAAAGTCTGTGTCCAGTACGTGACATCTCTGAACAGGAATCTATGTCAAGAGCATGAGGTCTCTGAGCTGGTTTAGGGCCCACGTTCCAGAGTGTGGAATTTGGGAGCTCTTGGGTATTGTATGAGTTCAGGGTGTGAGGTCTCTGAGCTATCTGGGTCTGAGAAGAGGGTGTGAGGACTTTGAACTGTTTGACCATCATTCTCCCAGTTTTCTCAGGAATTGGTGGGTCTGTATCCTTGGTTCTGAAGTCTCTGAGCATTGTGGGGGATCTGAAGTCAGAATATCAGGTGTGTGGATTACAAAGTGTGAGGTCTCTGAAGCATTTGGTAGTCTTTCTTCTGGTATCCTACTCTGAACCATTTTGAGGTCTGCATCAGAAGGTGTGAGGTCTCTGAGCTGTTGTACATAGATGTTCCCCACGGTCGGAATTCTCTGAACACGGTGTTTCTGGGCTGTGAGATCCCTAAGCTCTTTGGGGTCTGTGTCTAAGACTTGAGGCTCTGAGTTGTTTGCCGCACCACATTCTATGGGGTGAGGTCTCTGGGATGTTTAGTGCTCTATTTTTCAGGATGTCCCTGAGCAATTTGGGGGCCTGTGTCCAAGGTATAAGGTTTTGGAGTCATTTAGGGATCTGTGTTCTGGGTGTGAGGTCTCAGATGTTCAGGCTGTCTGGGGTGTGGCATCTCAGCTGTTTGGGAATCTGTTCCAGGATGTGAGGGTTCAATGCAGTCTGGGACTTGATCAGGATGTGAAGGCTCTGAATAACTTAGGTAGCAGTAGCCCAGGTTGTGAGGTCTTTGAAATGTTTGTTCATTTCTATCCCAGAAAGTTCTGTGATGTACTTGGAGTCCAGATCCCAATGTATGAGGTAGCCTTTAGGTCTCAAGAGTTCTTTGCGAGTCTGGGTCCCCTAGTTTCAGTGCAGCCTATAAACTATTCGGGGCCTGTGTTCAGGCACAAGATCTCGAAGCTGTATAGAGATGTGTACCCCAAATGTGAGGTCTCTGAGGTCTGGGGTCAATACCCAGGGTATATGGTCTATGAGCTATTTGGAGGCCTGTATCCTAGGTGTTGTATGTGGACGTCTCTGAACTGTTTAGGATTCTGTCAACTGTGTGTCAAGTGTTTGAGATCTTTGGGAATCTATGTTATAGTATGCGAGGTCTCTGAGCAAAAACAAAAGGTACAGGTTCACATTTAGGTTGAGGAATGATCAAGACTTATATTTGAAACATCATCTCCTTGTTCTCCACTTTGTACCCTGGTACATATTAGGTGCTCAATAAATATTTGCCAAAAATGTAAATACAATAAAAGCCAACTTTTCTCTTTTAACAGACTAGGCAGGCTCTGGGTTCAAAGCCCTAAGAGCTGGGAGGGTCCAACTAGAATTGTATCATATTTCTGTATTTCCACTGTATTTATTTCTCGAGTCATTTTTGCTTGTGGCAAGTGATAATGGTTTGCCCATTTAGACATCAATGGATATAGTTTGCCTTTTCAGTGCATTTTAAAATTTAAATAGAAAGCAAGCTTATTTTAGGTCAAGATGTTAGGTAGATGGTGGTGCAAATGGTAGGCTGTGGGGAATGTTCTAGTCAAATGGCTGAGGTTTAAGGACCATGTCCCTGGGTACCCCAGCTCCCAGCCTCTCATACCGCCAACCCCCACCTACACGAGGTCTTCATCCCCACACTTTGGTTTGTTCAGGCAACAACTCACTTTATTGATGCCCACCCCAGGCTGGGTAGGGCCGAGGAATATACAACAGGAGAAGCAGATTCAGTCCATGCCTGAAAGTCAGTCTAAGGGCAGGGAGCACGGACACACAGACAGCCACACAGATCTGGTGGCAGGGCACAGTCTCACAGAGGGGCACTCTGGGCACAGGTAGTCAGGGAAGGCTTCCTGGAGAAGACCTCACAGGGGAAGCAAGGGGTGAGGCAGCCATCAGAGCCTTCGTCTTCTGTACATCTGTGGGCAGGTAACTTTTGAGACTGTACTTGGCCTCCTGCCACATGGGCCCTTTCCTAGGATCCACCTCCAGTTTTCAAGGCTTCCCTGAGACAATCTATGTGGACCAGGTGCTTGGCTCAGTGCCTGGCACCTCATCACCACCCCATCAATGCACATTTTTGTCCTAAGTGCTATCTACAGCCTACCTAGGTCTTGGTTCCAGCTCTGAGTAGTCCCAGCAGTCATCACACGCCGACAGGGCTCCCAGGCGCCTTCTGTGCACCTCAAGGGCAGAGCTCAATCCCAGTCCACCTTAAGGGCTTGGAGAGTCTGGACTGCCTTCCTCTCATTGGCCAGTGGGCCATGGGCATCCACTCTCCTTCCAGTGGCATGTGGGCGTCTACTTCTTGGATGCACAGCCTACATGTGAGCATAAGCAGAAACCAGTCCCCAGCCCTGCAAACCCCCTCTTTCACCAAGTGGGCTGGGAAGTCTGAGCTCTTATGTCAGCCTGCCCTGAGGCGGCTTCTGCACTCTTGGAGCAGTAAAGAGAGGGCCCGCAACAGACCCCTCAAGCTCCAGGCAGAAGCAGGTGCATAAACATCTTTATATTCTAGGGCTGGGGCTTACCCCTTGGACCTCCTTGATAGGCCATGAATCCCAACTTCAGAAACTCTTGGTTTTGACAAATTACTTCTCAAGGTGGGCAGGGGGTTGTAAGTGCAACCCATGGATGGAGCTGGGACTGGGAGAGGGATTTTCTGGAAGTCAGTCCTCACTGCAACCCCGAGCACAGGGCAGGTGGGGGCAGGCAGAGGCAGACAGGAGGCCCTGGCAGTCATTCCTCAACCGGAGGGCAAGTGGGTAGGGGGTAGATGGGATGAGTGGCTTTAGGCCCCCACAGTCAGTCTGGTCTCAGACTTCGAAGGGCTAGAAGAGGTATTTGCGGCAGGATTCAGTCCCACACTTGCATTCAATACGGACCCGCTTCTTGGGGGAGCCGGGGAGCACAGCCAGGCCAAAGTTGGAGTCCATGCGGGTGCTCTCCATGTCCACGGGGTCCACTGTGGAGTCACACAGCCAGGGAGGGTGGGGGGAGGAGGGGACTTGTTAGAAGGCCTAGGTGAAGTGTCCCACTGCCCCTTTACCGTGAGACCCAGGGATCTTAGGGGATGGGAGCGGGTCTGGAATGTGGGTTAGGAGGGGATTGTGGAATTGGTAGCTTGGGACTAAGGCCAGGGCTTAGCACTGGAGGGTGCTGAAATGTTAGGAAGATGGCCAGGGATTGGGGGTTGCGGGGAAGCAAGGGGCTGTTGGGGAGAACCAGGAGGGCTGTGTCAGGCAGTGGTCCAGGAATGAAGGGCCACCTGGGCCTCAGAGGGATATCTGAACTCTCCTGCCAAAGATGCGCTCTTGAGTGTCTTAGGGGTAGCTAGATTGTCAAGTAGGGGTCTGGCTGGAAGCCAACAGGGTGTCCAGAGGCTTGGAATGAGGAAAGCCAAAAAGGGTCAGGACCGAGGAGGGTTGGGGGACTGGGGATATATCAGACAAGACTGGGATCAAGAGAAGTATATTAACTCTTGAGCCAAACATCCTCCTCCCCCAGGAGTACTTAAGAAGTCGGTCCAAGGGTTAGGAATGAGGGGACCCCCAAAAGGTAGGCAGGGGTCCATAAGTCCAGATGGGAGACTAGGAGTCAGAAAGAGCATCTTAAAGCTCCTTGGGGGAGGGGTCCTTGTGTCCCATGTCACCGTGTGCCCCTGCCCCCAGTCCCTTGACACCCCCACCTTGCATGTTGTAATCAAAAGTGAGCTCCTCGCCTGCCCAGATGGTTCTTGTGGCAAAGAAAGCAATGCGGGGCAGCCGCTCATCAAGGTTGTCTATGAAGACGTTGTACACCTGGAGGTTGGGGTCACACTGGGAGAAAAAGAATAGCAGGAGGATGAGGAGGGGCCCAACCTGCTCCTCCCGACCCCCACCCGCCTGCAGGGTACCCACACTGTGGTTGACAAAGTGGGAGATGTTGCCATAATAGGCGGCATCCACGGTGTACACATCCTCCACGTAGTCCAGGTCGAAGAGGTATGTGGCACCCTGGCGGTCGTAAATCTGGCCCCGCCGCTCCGCCTCCTCTGAGGTAATGATCTGGGGAGAGGGTCATGGGGGAGGGGGAATTGGCCAAGAAGGCTCAGGAAAACAAGCACAGTGCCTGGCCCCCCAGGAGGAGAAGAACAGGTGAAAAAGGGGGTACCCCCAACCATGTGGCTGGCAGGGCTGGACACGGGAGGCAGTGAGGCAGAGGGTCTGTCAGCCCTTCTCAAGGGGGCTGGGTTTCAGCTGCCCACCACCCATCCCTCCTCAGGCCTCTGGATGGTCTAGGGAGTCTCTCAACGGTGGGCGGAGGCTGGCCAAAAGGTCCAGTAGTGAGACAGTAGTCAGACAGACAGACAGAAAGACACAGATATATCTCCATCATGAGGGACCATAGTGAGACACAGGAAACCCAAATGAAAGGCAAGAAAGAAAAAGACCAAGGGCTCAATAGAGAGGGGAGAGTAGAGCAGGGGAGAACAGGAGAGGATGACTGATCCAGGGCAAAAGGGCCTGAGGCACTGCGGGACCCAGCACAAGAGAACCAGCGCAGGACCACGTACACAGGTAGTGAGAAAGCCACGGAGACCGAGGAGAAGAGCCCTGGGCTGGTGGGGAAAGGGAGGCTGAACAGGAGACTCGGGAAAGCTAGAGGCAGAGAGTGAAAAACACTGACAGAAGCTAAATATGAAAGACCCAGGTCCAGATATAAGACCCAGACCCCTGAGATTCTCAGATGAAAAAAACACAACAAAAACAAAAACAAAATACCACCACACAGAGGGAAGATGAAAAGAGACAAGAACTAGAGTAGGAACCCCTCCCTCAGCCCGGAGGCTTCTGTTCCTCCCTGGCTGGGTCTCCTGCTGGCCTAGTAAACATGAAGCTGCTCCATCATCCTAGCCCTGACCTGTCCTTGCCTCCCAAATGCTGTAGATGGATTCTCCACCCCAACCCTGCCCAACCCAATCTCTCCTCTCCTCTCCATCCCTCAAGTTCCCTCTTCCCCTTGGGGCCAACCACAGCCTTCTGGTAATCCCACCCATGCCAGTCTCCGGGTGAGAGTCCCCCAGTACCCAAGACTGCCCACACTTCAGCCTAGGATCCCTCCAGACCAGGCATATCTCATTCTCCACTTGCAGGTTTCTGCCCAGCCCTCAAAGACACGTGTCAGCACAGTGTACGGCACACAGCACTCTTAAGACATGCCCTTTTATTCTTTCGAGCCCAGCAACCTATCCTCTGTCCAGCAGTGGCCCTACAGGCAACTCACTCTTCCCTCCTCCCACACACACCCTTCTTCCCTGTTCTTTTGTTGGAGACCCACTGCCCATCACCGGCCCACTCCTGACACTGGATCCACCCTGGCCTCCTTCCTTGCTCGCCCTCATGCCAGCTAGTGACCATGCTGTTTCTACTTTCAAATCCCTCGTTCTAGCCTTGACCACCCTGTTTTCCCCAGTCGGAACGGCCACACTAGTGTCCTGTCTCCTCCCTGCCTCTTACACCATCATCTAGCCTCTCCTCCCTGTCGAACGCGGCTCAACAGTACCTTTAGAAGACCAAGATTTATCCCTCAGGTCACATTGCTCACTGCCCCATACTTCAGCTTTTCCTTCAGGAACCTGGCTTCTCTATACCTGTTTTTATTTATTCACTCATTCATTCAGTGGATTTTTTATAAGGCTTACCTTGTGCCTGGTCCTAGCACTCAGAAGTCAGTGTCTGCTGGGGGAGACACAGGGACCAGGCTGGGTCCCTGTTCTCAGGGGTCAGTTTAGGGGGGGAGTCACAGGGATCAGGCCCAGACCTACTCTTCATGGGTCAGTCCTGTGACAGAGAGATGGACTCAAGACATCCACAGTGCTTAAAGTTCATGGGGCAGTGGGAAAGACACCATCTAAAGCAAGCTGCAGATCATGAAGGGCTTTGACACCAGGTTGAAGAATGGGGGCTCTCTCCTGAAGGACACAACAGGAGGCACAGAAGCATTTGGAGGAGGAAGACGGCAAGGCCAGTCTCCCTCCACCTCCTTAAGAATGTGCACTCCCCTCTTGTGGCATCAGCTCCAGGCATCACTTCGTGCAGCCTTCCCAAATCTCCCAGTCCTTACCCAGCACAGCGTCGCTGAAGCCCTGGGATTAAAGGGCAACCTCTGCTGGGCTAGGAGCATACTGGATGGTGTCTGAGCAGGCTTTTTCCTTTCAGCCCCTCCCCAACCAGAGGGAATGCCCCACAACCTCCCCAGTCTCATCTTCCTGCCTGTTCTGCCCCTACCTGCTCCCCAGGAATGAGTCATACTGCAAGCCCTCCAGGGCACAAACCGTTCCTCCTATTCTTTTCAGTGGCACTCTGTAAGGGTTGGGCCACCCTGAGAACTCGAGAACAAATCAGTCCATGTCCTCTGCTCCCTAGCAACTCTCTACAATGACTGGATAAGATAGATGGGCTAGAAGCTGGCAGCCTGGAAAGGGCGTTGACGTGAACAGGAACCAGAAGACTCAAAGTACAGTTGCTACTCTGACCCCTCCCAGATATAGGATCCTGAATATTCTCTCCCTGTGCCTGTTTGCTTAGCTGAAGCGGGGTGGGGGGAATCCAGAAAATGAAAAACTCCACTTGGTCTGGCAGGGCACCAATTTTAAACACTTGGACCTTTTCTTTTTTTTTTTTTTAACCCACCTGACTAGCTTGATGACTCCAAGCAGTATACTACACCTTTCTAGGCCTCAGTTTTCTCATCTGCAGAATGGGAATGACAATGACAAGAATCCCAGACACACAGGGGCTATTGTAAAGATTCAACGAGATGACAGATGTGAAAGGTGTTTGTTAGGAACCAAGCGGTGTTACGAGAGGTTGAGTCCTGTATTTTGTCAAAATCTAAGATGCTCCCTGTGTTTTATTTCCTTTCCCACGAAAGAAAAAACTGCTGCTCATTAAATATCATTTTTAATTAAACTAATTGAGACTCACCGTCACTTCAGAGTTGTTAAGATATGAAGAAAACGTATGTTTTAAAATGAATAAAACAGGCTATCATTCTCTGTTGGGTGAGGGTGGAGATGTTCTGACAGAAGGTGGAAAGGTGCAAAAGCAGGAAGGGCAGCTCATGTGAAGGGACTGTCGGTGCAGAGGTACAAGTAGGAGAGTGAACGCCCTGTCAGATTGTATGGGGTGTGTGCTCTCAATTATATAGCAGTAGGTAGTGTCTGGGACAGCACCACGTAATCAAGTAAATTAGTATTTCTACAATGAAATCTATGAATATTCATACCAAGTAGGATAAAAACACTAAATAGGTCCAAATCCGGTCAAATTAGGTTTTATAGCCAGATGGATTACAAAAACCGTCTGGTTTTCTGAATTTTGGAATATAATGGCTTACAGGGATTGAAGACTTACTGTATACTGAACAGTGTTTGAGTGCTTCACACATGACAAGTCATTTAGTTCTTATAAAAAGTGTATGAGGTGGGTGCAATTATCATTCCCATTTTACAGATTAGGAAACTGGGATACACGGAGGTAAAGTGACTGCTGTCAATGGGTGGAGCTGGGATTCAACCTCGGGCAGCCAGGCTCCAGGGTCCACCTGTCTGCCCATTTTGCCATGCTGCCTCCTCACAGGGAGATGTAAGATTAGTTTGGCCTCTGTTGCCATCAGGAAGTCCCACAGGTCTGAGGGTGTTGGAAGGGGGCCTGCAAGTTGCTGAATGTAGCAGGAGGAAGGCTAAGAAACAGTTCAGAGAAAACGTGTGAAGAGTAGGAACAGAGTCCCTGAAAACCCCAGTGTTTACAGTGTAGAGGTGTAAGCACATTAAGGAGGAGCAGCCAGAAAAGTACCCAGCCCAGGGGACTTTGGGGTGCCTAAGGACTGCAGTCTTCCTTCTCCTTGCCTCAGGACCCTCTGTCTCATAGACAGCCTTTCCTCAAGATTGTCAGGACAGTAGAGCGAGGCTAGAGACACTACCTCCATTGGACTTCCTCTAGGACTGCTGGGCTCCTGTGGGGTCAGGACATCTCCTCCTCTAGACCATCAGGGGCTCTGGAGTATACACATAGCCTCCTCCAGAATGCTAACATCCCTCTGAGGTGGGAACATCTCCTCCCCACTGTTAGCGTCCATCTGAGGTCTAGACATTTCCTCCAGAGTGTCAGTACACTGAGGATATAGACACTTCCTCTAGGCTGTAAACCTGATCTCCTTTAGACTGTCACGATCCCTCTGGGGTGAGGACATTTCTTTTTCCCGACTGTCAGAAGAGTGTGGGTGTGGACCCTTCCTAAGGCAGACCACCAGGGTCCTTTGGAGTGTGGATAGCTCACTCTCATCCTGTAGGTCACTCTGGGACATGGATACCTCTTCCTGCAGTGTCAGAACCTCTCTGGGGTATGGCCACCTCTTCCGTCTTCCAGACTGTCAGGTCCTTTGACACGTGGACATTTCCTCCACCAGACCACCAGGATTGTCTGGAGTATGGACATCTCATCCAGACTGTCAGAGTCCTCTGCAGTATGGATTACCCTGCCTCTAGATTGTCTCAACTCCCCAGGGCTATGACCCTCTCTACTTTATAGTTAAAGTGGAAGCCTCTCCTCCTCATCACTGTCATTATTACAGTGTGGACATCCTGCGGGGTGTGTCCCTTAGGCCAATTTCTGTCACTTCCCAACCAGAGCAAACCCTAAGAAACCTATGGAAATATGGAGGAATTTGGGGTTGCCATCATGACAGGGCACAGTCATGAATTTAAATGGTCCAGGGATGTACAATGTTCCTCAATGCATGAACTGATCCTAAATAAAAAAGAACTGCCCCACACCAAATGCCCACTGCCTCCCACCTTTGAAAGTGACCTTTGCAGTTGCAGGCACTTGCTATTCACCCAAACCCCTTGTTTCCCACCTGTGCACATGGCTAAATCCCATTTCTCAGCCTCCCCTGCACGGAAGTAAGGCCAGTGACTTGGTTCCAGCCAGTGGATAGGGACAGAAATGATATGTACTGTGTCCAGGCCTGGCCCATTAGAAACCTTCCCGTCACCGCCCCCCCCCCAACTCCTGGCCTGCTTACCAGGCAAGGCTGAGGATAAGAGTCAGCTCCAAGGCTCTCAGCCATGGCCAAGGCACAAGAAGGAAAAAGCCTAAGTGACCAGTCTGCTGTGTGGCAGGATACTACCCAAACACCCACACTAGACTGTTACAGGAGCAAAAAGACTTCTAACATGCAAAGCCACTAAGACTTGTGGATCGCTGCTGGTCTTTCCACAGTATCCTGCAAGTCTAGAAGAGGAAGCAGCCAACCTCCACGAGGCATGTCTACGCCCTACTCCAGACTGTGTTCCTTTTGTCCAGATTAGTAAAAAGTACTCTTTCTGGGAAGACACTGCTTAGCAATAAGCTGGACCCTTGTAAAATGAGAAGAGAAGTGCCTTTTCAGTTGATGCAACCCTGTGCAGACCACACAACCCATTAAAAGGAACACTGCCTGGATTTCGGTTTCTACTCTCCTCTTTGCTAGGTACCCTTATGAAATCAACAGTCAGGAAGGGTTTCAATGTGCTTTTAACTACCAGCTTGGAATATTCTCCCCTGCCAGGATATCCCTAGCACTTAGGTTAAACACCCACCACCACCTTTATCACAGGAAGAGCAGACACACGATGACGAGAGCTGGGCGCACACAATGGGAACACAAAGTGGGAAGAGCCGCGCGCGCGCGCACGCACACACGGTCCTGTCTCCCTACCTCTCCCACGTACTCCATGACGAAGCTGTTCTTGCGGATCTTCTCCAGTGTGCGGACGCCCCAGCCACGCCCATCATCCGTGCGGAAGATACAGAGGTTATAGCGGATGCCCTTCTGTACCACGCGGTTGGGGCAGTCATAGCCACAACGGCAACGGGAGTTGCACTCATAGATGGGCTGCCCAGCTCGCAGCCGCACCTGGCCCTGGTCATTGTAGGCAAACTTGTGCAGTGATGCCCCAGGGCAGCAGCCTCCAGCGGGTGCCCACAGGCAGTCCTGGCACTCGCAGCCCACAGCCACCTGGTTGAGGGTGATGCCCTCACCAACACGGTACTCATTGATGTATACAAAGGCCCGCGGGGGGCCGTCCAGATCCACCTCATTCTCCACAGTGATGCGTCCCAGATGGTTGCGCTTGGCATTGAGCTCCTGCTCCCAGAGCTGGAGTGCCCGCCTCTGCTTGGCTTTCTGCACCAGGTAGCTGGCCAAGCTTGGGTCCAGATGCCTGGGTGGCTTTGACCGGTGGTGCCGCCGGAGCAGTTCTCGTTCTAAGTCCTTGTGGAACTGCTTGAGAATGCGCACACACTTGAGATTCTGCCGTGGCTCCCAGGTGCTCTCTGACTCTGGGTATCCACGCCATTTTACCAGGTAATACTCCTGTTCCTGTTGGAGGGACAAGGGGGACAGGGGCCCCCGTAAGCAGTGAGACCCTTGGACCTGCCCTCGTGGGACTTCCATCCCAAAACCAATGGCTAATACCCAAACCACTCCTCCACCTTTCTGTAAGGGCACCATGCACTGGTTAAAAAGCATGGGCTCTAAAGCCAGGATCACTAGGTTTAAATCCTGCTCTACTCATTCTGTCTAAATTCCAACTATTAAGTTAATCTTCTAAACCTACTCCCTTTTCTGTCTTCCCCTTCATCAGCTCCCTCCTGCTAGCTGTCCAGGCCCCAACTCTTGGAATCATCCTTGACTCCTTTCTCTAACACTCCTCACGTCTGCCCTCAGCAAACCCTGTCAGTCCCACCTTCAGGCTACATCCAGAATCTGACCACTTCCAACCACCATCACTGCCACCACGATCAATGCTCTCCTGGGGTGCAGCAGTAGCCTCCTCACTGGTCCTCTTGTTTCCACCCTTAACCCCATAGTCTGTTCTCCACACAGCAGCTGGAGGGACCTTTCCTTGCTGAGAGGAGGCTACAAGACACAGTTTAACTACACAGAGTCTAAGTTAAACACCCTGGGTACAAATTCTGAACCTGTCACTCCCTAGCTGTGTGGCCTTGGACAAGTTATTTAATTTTGCTGGGCCTTAGTTTCCTTATCTGTAAATAAGGGAAAAAGCTAAAAAACATTTTTTTTAGCATTCATTATGTAGCATGTACTGTTCTAAGCAGCTTACACTTGTACTAATTAAATTATCTACTTGTACTAAACTTGTACTAAATTAACTAATTTAATCCTCACCACTCTACATGAGCTAGATTCTACTAAGCATCCCCATTTTATAGATGAAGAAAATAAAGTACAGCGAATTTGCATAAGTATCCTGGGGTTACATGACCAGGATTTGAACCCAAGTATGCTACCCTAGTCTGTTCTCTTAAGTAGGCTGCCATTACCAGCTCAGGCCATGATAATAGTTCTCATTTCAGTGTTGTTGGGGTGATTAAATAAGTTTCTGAGGGGAAATGCCTTGCAGACAGAAAGTGCTCAATAACCATTAGCTATCCTTATTCCCACTCCTGGACTCAGCAGCTCAATCACTGCAACTGGTTTGTATTCTTAGGAAGGTGGTAGGAGAGAATTATTTGGGGATTCATCCTAGCTCCTGCCTCCCTCCGAAAACCACTACGTTTCTCTATCAGGAAGATAGAGATGAGAAGAGAGCCTACTAATCCTAATTTTTTAAGATCAGCAGAGAAAATTCCCTTCGGAATCAAATGCAGACAGTGGGGGGGGGGCAAAGGGGCAGGAAGACAGCTTCCTTGAGACACCCCCGCCCTGCCATGGTTACCCCAGACTCACGCGTATCTTCTTGTAATCACACAGGTACTCGACTTCAAAGTCATAGAGATTCCTCTTGGAGATGCCGAGAGCAGGGCATGAGAGCTTGGCCAAGCGGCACAGGTCCTGTAGCTGATTCCAAGAAGATTTGCAACACACACTGCAGCCTAGAACAAGGGGTCCACAAAGAATATTACTGGGTATCCTGGCAAGGCCTAGGGTCAAAGGGCATCCAAGTCCTCCCTGAGACTTCCAAAGGACTGCCTCAGAGTCAGTGAAATTTAATCTACAGATCTCCCCAATACTAAGACCTTTCTACCACAAAAATGTGCCAGTTCCTTCAACCACAATGCTCACTATCCAAGGCTACCCCTGCAGCAGCAGACCTCAAAGTGGGATCTGCTGCATGGATTATCCTAAAGGAATATATTCCCAGAGCTCCCAATTCTCCCTATACCATTTCTAAAACTGCTTGCAAAACCAGCCTAGTATTCAGGACCTAATCCTCCCTCGACATTTTGCAAAAAGAGAACAGCCTCCCATCTCAGTAGGGTGCTTTGCCCCAAGGGCATAGGTGGGATGGGGTTAAAACCTCCAGGGCACCAAACTGGAAAGACTGGTCTGAATCTGAAATCCCTGGGCTGGAAGTATTTTGGAATTCAATTTTTTATTTTATTTTACAAGTGTAGTTTTAGGTATACCCCCTACACTACCTAACACCGCCAGTGTACTCAGGTGCTTCAAGCCATAATCAAACACTTCAATAGTTCTGCAGCAAAAGTTTGAATTTTCACATTAAATATGAGAAATAAAGATGCAAGATAGCAGCACGGAATAGTCCCACCTTATAGTCTAGCTTTGCCACTGAATAGTGCCAAACTTAAGTTTTCAGGGCTTTTTAGATTTCGGAATTATGAACAAGAGATTGTGAAGTGGTATTAGATTACAGGAAGCTTCCCTGAATGACTAATCTGGGTGTCTTAACCCCACAAGGTATATTTTTCACATTGCATTTTGACTTTTTCTGCCTCATCCACATTTCTGTGAAGGGTAAAGCTTGCCCAAAGGAATTCAGGAACAGGCAAAACAGTAGTAGGTCAGTGACAATGATTCTGTAAATATACCTGGAGTGTATCTGGGGCTACCAAAATTTTTCAAGACAGATTTTTTAAAAAGCCTTCTAAATCAAAGATTCAAGACAGTCTTAATGTACTTTAGAAGCCATTTTATCAGATGATTTCACAGAACACTTACTCCAAATGTAGTCATTCAGTCCTCATCCTATTAATATTTTCTACCTCTTATTAAAAAAATCAAACATTTAAACTCATGATGAAAGGCTACAGATGACAACCTAAAAATGTGCAAGAGCTTTGCAATATTATTCTGTGTGCACAACCTAAAAACGCAAAAGAGCTTTGCAACATTATTTCATGTGCACTAACCCCCCTTCCACCTAGGCAGGCCTAGTAGATACTCGGCCTGTGCCCACGCCTTCCTCTCCTTATGACGTCTCTCTCTTTCAAACCCCTGAACTTGCTTTTGAAACCCCACTAAAGTGTTGCCAACTCACATCTCCAGCTGCTAGCGCCGCACTGACCACAGGTGGAATCTCCTGTCCCTTAGAGGTCCCTCACACTTGTGGAACCCATCCTTCCCGCAGATTTCCTTACCCAGAGAAGCCCACCCCTCAACATATGGACAAAGTCACTTCTTTTTCCCTGCTCACTGGGGAATCCAATTTTCCCATTCGGGAAGCCCCTGCCCCTCTTCCAAAGGGAGTCCTCGCTACTGCAGACCCTTCCCTCATCACGCTGAGAGATATCCTTCCCACAGGACTCCTCTATAACCCCACTCGGAAAATGAGGACCGTCCCCTTCCATTCCCTCTCCTTCCCTCTCCTTCCGGCATCTCGCGTGGACACCAAGCGGGTAACGGTCACCGGCGACCGATTTTCCCGCGCGCGGGCGCGGCCTCCGGGACCAGCCACCCCCGCACGCGCGCGCGCTCGCGCGCTTTCGGGTCGCTTTTAGAGGCGCGCGCCCCCCTCTTGAGTCCCCACTTCGCCCCGCGCCCGCCGCCTTCCAAAGCACGCGCCCCCTCCTCTCAGCCCCGCCCAGCCTCGCGCGCTTGGCCCGAGCTCCGCGAGCCCCAGCCTTTCGGCGCTGGGCTTCCGGCTTCCAGCTCCGTGGCTTTGGACGCCTGGGTCCTGAGCCCGCGACGTTACCCCTCCAGCCCACGCAGCCCGGCCAGCAGACCGGCGCCGCTGCCACCACTACTTCACCTTTTAAATTTTCCGCCATCTTTCCCCACGGCTAACGACATTCGGGCCTAACTGGCCTCGCGAGAAGAGAGCTCGCGCGGGCGTGGCCGAGAACGCGCAGCCTATTGGCCGCGCCGCACCCAGAGCAGTGCCCGTGCGGACCAACCGGCGAGCCGTGACCGGACCCCTCCCGCCACTCCGCTCGGTCCCGAAGGCGGGTGCTCGCCAGCGCTATCCCAGCGTGCGTCTGGGCGGTGGCAGCGGCAGCGGCAGCCGAGGTTGTCGGAGGCCCTGCCCGTCCGCCGTTCTGTCTGTCACGCCATCAGCCAATCCCGTTGTCAGTCAGCCAGCCAGACCTGGGCGGGGGGGGGGGGGCGGAAACTCTTCGTTCTGTCAGACCCCAATTACCACCGTCAGGCAGCCCGTCACATTTTAACCCTGAGCAGGCAATGACTCCTCTCCTATGGTAGAGTAGAGTCACAGACTGCTGCTCAGTCTCAAAGTCCGTCCAGACTCAAATCACACAAAGGGTCAGTCATCGCAACTGCATAGTCAGACCCCACCCGCCATTCACACCATCAGTCACCAGTAGCAGACATTTGTGCCCCTCCCCGCCAGAAGCAAGTCCCTAGGGACAGACATGCAGTGCTTACTAATAGCCACATTGCTAGTCAAGTCAGCCTGTCATTGCCTGAGAGGACCCCTTCCTCATTGGCAGTCACACAAGCGGCGGTTTCTCCTGCTACCTTTGCCCTAGCACCTGCTCTGAACCCCCTGGGGAAGTCATCTCCTGCCTGCTCCAGAAACCCCAGCCACCACCCATGCCCTCAGGCAGGCTGCAATTAGGTCAGGCGTGGCTGGAATTGTCGGCATCTCCTGCAGCCCTGTCAGGCAGTCACACTATCCACCATCAGTTGTCAACGACTGTCATTCCCACCATAATCAGGTACTTTATTCCTCAGGGCAAATAGTCACAGCGACTAAAGGTAGCATTAAGCCTCCGCACTACCTGTCAGTGGCCAGCATCCTGTCCTTTCTCAGGGAGGCAGACATACCCCCCACCAATGGACAGTATCCTCTGACCCATCAGGGCAGCTGTGATTCTAACGCGGTACAGCTATACAGTCAGGCAGCTACGATGCACTTTCAGTTGGTCAGCTGGCCTGTGACTCATTCTGTCTGCCCCCCATACTGTCAGTTAGCCAGGTAGCCATGCTCAGCATCCAGCCGAGCACGTGGTTTATCAAGCATGCTATGATCCGGTCAGGGCAGACAGTCGCCAGAGACAGCTGCCTATCAGAGGGCCACAGATCTGTCCATCAGCCAGTCTGAAATCCCCTCAGGGTAACCCTCCTTCACATATCATCTGGCAACAGTAACAGCCAGACACTCCCTTGGGCCAGGTGCGATACCTAGCAATAGTCATCCATCCATAGCATCCTGCCAACCATGGGTCAGGAGTCAGCCAGCATGTCAGTCCCTCAGGAGGCTTCTGGTCTTCTACGCTGTCAGACCGCCAGCCCCAGTCAGTCCCAGGCAGGCTGTAATTGTTAGCTATTTCAGTACCACGTTGTCAGTTCCTGAAACTGCTCCTCTCCTTGTCAGTCCATGAGTTATGGAGTTAGCCAAATAGTTATTCTGTCTGCCTGTCTGTCAGTCCAGCTGTGAGCTGTTTGGAGAGCTGACAGCCCCTGCTTGCCATGAGTGGAAGAGTCAGCAGCATAAGTCCCACCATGGATTCCCCTTCCCTCCCTATTCCTTCTAGAACAGTCTGATGCTAGTCTTCACATGTCTCCAGTCTCCTGGGGCAGGCAGGACCCTCCCACTCCCAGGTATCCAAGAGATCTATCCAACCCATGACAGTGGTTTAAAGCATGACGTTTTTTAAAAAAATTAATATTTTAATATAGTGTTATAGGAATTTTAAAAGGAAAACAGTCCCTAAACACAATGTTTCCGTGTTCCTTTCCAGTTTTGTCTATATATACATTTCCAAAGTAAGTATTCTATTTATACACATATACATATATAGGTTTTTATTACAGTTTACATTCAATATTATTTTGTATTAGTTTTAGGTGTACAGCACAGTGGTCAGACAATCATACACCTCATGAAGTGCTCCCCTGATATTTCCAGTACCCCCTTGGCACCATACATTGTTCTTACAATATTATTGACTATATTTCCTATGCTGTACTTTACAAACCTATGACTATTTTGTAACTACCAATTTATACTTCTTAATCCCTTCACTTTTTCACCCTGTTCCTCAAGCCCCCTCCCCTATGGCAACCATTAGTCTGTTCTCTGCATCTATGCACCTGTTTCAATTTTTTTTTTGGTCATTTATTTTGTTCTTTAGATTCCAAATGTAAGTGAAATCATATAGTGTTTGTCTTTCTCTGACTGACTTATTTCACTTAACATAATACCCTCTAGGTCCATCCATGCTGTCCCAAGTGGTAAGGGTTTTTTTGTTGTTGTTGTTTTGTTTTGTTTTGTTTTTGTTTTGTTTTTTGCGGCTGAGTAATATTTCATTGTCTATTTGTACCACCTCTTCTTTATCCACTTATTTATTGATGGGCATGTGGGTTGCTTCCATAGCTTGGCTATTGTAAATAGCGCTGCAATCAACATAGGGGTGCATATATTCTTTCGAATTAGTGTTTTGGGTCCCTTCAGATATACACCCAGAAGTAGAATCGCTAAGTCATAGGCAGTTCCATTTCTAATTTTTTGAGGACCCTCTATACTGTTTTCCACAGTGGCTGCACCAGTCTGCATTCCCACCAGCAGTGCACCAGGGTTCCCTTTTCTCTGCATTGTGGCTAATACCTGTTGTTTGTTGATTTATGCACAATAGCTATTCTGACAGGTATGGGGTGATATTATGGTGTTAATTTGCATTTCTCTGATGTTTAGTGATGTTGAACATCTTTTCCTCTGTCTATTGGCCATCTGTATGTCCTCTTTGGAGACATGTCTATTCAGGTCCTCTGTCTATTTTTAAATTGGATTGTTTGGTTTTCTTGGTGTTGAGCTGCATGTGTTCTTTATAAATTTTAGATATTAATCCCTTATTGGATGTATCAAAGCATGACCTCTTTCTGCTTGAATCTGGAGGGGTGATGTGGGGGTTTTGGGGGAGCATCCCTTGGCCCTCCCCAAGCAATATAGGATAGTAGGTAAAGGCCTAGATTCTGGTAGTCTGATGACCTGAGTTCAAGTCACAACTCCTCCATATACTAAATTGAGTGGATTTAGACGGTTTCTTCATCTACAAAACCTCAGACAAGTGACCTTGGAGTGGGCATTTCCTGCTCACCTGGTAAATGAATCTTTCAGAAGCACTACCACCTTTTCAGAAGACCACCCTCTTATTACCCTGTCCTACTCCGAGCCACTTGTCTGTTCAGCATTAATTTAGTGCCTAGTGTGTACATTGCCTTGTCCAGTGCTGGGACCAAAACAGGGTTTTATCCACTCCATGCCACACAGGTTTGACCTGTTTTTAATGTAAACCTCATAGTGGAGTGTAGCACACATATGGAGAGTACACAGACCATGGGTGATCAGTGGTGTGACCTTTCACCAGCAAATATACATGTGGAACCAGAACGCAGGTTAAAGAACAGCATAGCCAGACAGAGCACCAGAAGCATTTAATTTTTTAACATCTCTGAAATCAGGCTGCATCTCTCAAGCACTGGTGGGTCATAATTCAACTGGCAGTACTTCTTTTGTCTTTCTTAGTGATACATAAAATAAGGGTGTATTTTATAATTAATGGTGACTCAGGATCAGTGATGCCCAATAATAACAGCAGCAGAAGCTGATGTTTATAGGTGCCTACGAGGAGAGAGGCACTTAGATCGCCATCTACTTTAATTCTGCCTACAGCCTATGACATAAGCGTTTTCATCCTCATTTTAAAGACTGAGAAAACTGAGGCTCAGAGAAGTCAAGCAACTTGCCCACAGTCAATTCTTTTACCCCGGGCCTGTGCCTGCTCTAGTCAGGGCTACTGGATATTCAGAAGTAGTGTGATGTGAGGTCTTTCCTCCAACAAAGCCCGCCCAAGGGATCCCAGAACACTGGATTTCTAGGATTTCATCAGGGGCGAGGGGGTGAGTTGGGAGGGGAGTGAGTGGTATGACAAGACCTTCCTAGATTCAGTGCTTGTTCTGGGGATCTTGTCTGGGTGGGGTGGGAAGTAGAGTTGGGGGATGAAGAATAATAAAAGAATTAAAGGGAACCCGAGACTCCCTCCTTCTCCATCTTCCCCAGCTGTCGAGGAATTCTTACGGGGCAAAGCCAGCTCCCATTCCCCACACCTCCAACCTCACCACCCCAGCTGCCCCCCTGCCTTCTTCCCCTAACCCCCCAAGCTACACCCCAATGGTTCCAAAATTCTTCTACTGCTCTTGCATATAAAAGAAGCCTGTCCTCTATTGAATCTCCCTCACCTTGGTCTTTCTCCCCTCCTCTGTCTCTAAATGTAGGCTATCTGAGATCTTCAATCCACCAGATTTCAGAAATGCGAAAGGGGTAGGCACCTGGATTCTAGCCTTTAATGTGCAAGAGTTTCTAATTACTTCATTGGAAATGCTTTAAACACCTGGGACTGTTTTGAGTTGCTCCTTTTTTTCTGGAGAGCAAGTCTTAGAGGAGAAGGAGGGGAGGGGTGACTCAGTGGGATCTCAGTTGGAAATCTATTACTTATTGTTACCTTCATTGTATACATAGGGAAACTGACGCACAGAGGTGTGGCATCTTGTTCAAGTTCTAGAGAAGGTCTATTTGAATAGTAAGTCTTTGACTCTTCCACTGCCATTGGCCAAGACTTGGTTTACACTGGGAACTGGGCAGAACCAAATTTGAATACTGAGAGGGGGTTCTGCCCATTAGGATCCTGTGTGAATTGTGTGCATGGACAGTTGGGAAATCTGACCATCAAGAATTCTCTTGATCTAGTATTGTGTTGATTGAACAGTTTTTAAAAAATAAATAAGTGAATGAATAAATAACTCTCCCACTCATTCACCACACCCAGCCTCATGCCAAGCTTTTCCCTACTTCAGGGCCTTTGCAGTAGCTGTTTCCTCTGCCTGGAATGCCCTTCCCCGAAATATTCACCTGGTTGACTCTTCTCCCCCTAGGTTCAGCATAACTGTCACCTCCCCTCCAAGAGGCTTTCCCTTAACACCTTATCTGAATGTCATTCCCCCTTGGCACATAGCATTTATCATGATCTGTAACTCTCTCCTGTTTCTATTTGATACTTTCTTGTCTGTCTCCTCCCTAGAATGGCAGTGTCTAGAATGTCAGCCCCACTAGGGCAAGAATTTTTGTTGATTTTTTCCACTGCTTTATCCCCATACTCTAACATAATGCCTGGCAATAAATGTTTGCTAAAACAAAAAACGGCAGAAGGAAACAAAGAAATAAAGGCTAAATGACTGAGGAAACAAGTGAATGAATGAATGTATATGTGTAAAGCTAAATCAATGAAATCAGGTAGATGAATAAAAGGGATTTTAGGAGAAAAGGACCCCAAATTCCCACTTTTGGAATATAAATGAACTGAAATTTAGAGGAACAAAAAGACAGTTATTTTATTTTTGTTTTAAAATCCTTGACTGAGAACTGATAAATTTTGTATAAAAAGCGCTGTTGCTAAGGCAACTGGGGGCCGGTCAGAGGTAACAGCATTGGAGGGGGTGGTGGGGAAGAAATGGGCCCTGGGGGCCTGAGAGCCAAGAGAGGAAGGCAGCGGGCAGCAGCTGCCTGTGGATCAGGTGCGGAACAGGTCGGGGTGGTGGCAACTTAGTCATCCCATTCATCGTCCTCATCGTCATCTCCAGCCTGGTCCTCCCCTTCGTCTGGAGGGGGACAGAAAGAGCGGAACCCAGATGGGCAGCAGGGTTCACAAGCCCTGGAGTGGGGGTTTGCTAGGGTCTGAGAAGTTGGGACTCGGGGTCCTGGGGGGCTGAGGTTTCCTGCTAGGAGATCAGATCTGGGGCCTATGCATTGGATAAGGATGGGCCCCCTCAGAGGAGGGAGAAATAGGATTTCTGTTTCAGAAGAGATAGGTATTATAGTTGGGGTCTGGGCTCTAGTTGGAGTTGTAGTTAATACTACTCTCAAGAATGTGTGGTTACGCCCTGGCTGGTTGAGGTTGTTTTTAGGCCAATACTAGCCCTGAGAAAAAGGGTCACTGCCAGAGAGGGCAGCTCACAGGTGGCACAGGAGGGCCGACTCTTACCTGAAGAATGAATGGCTTTGCTTCTCTTCTGCATTACGTGCATCAGGGCACCCACTAGCCCCTCGGAGCTCTGAGGTGGTGGCTGTAGCGCAGAACTCTCCGAGGCCCCAGGGGTCTGCAGCAAGCAGGGCCCAGCACAGAGGGCTCAGAGCCTATGAGAGCACTACTCCCCACCCTTTCCAGTCCCCCTCAAGGTTCCAGGCCCACACCTCTGCATTAACCTCCCAACCCTCTCACTGAACCCCAAAAGCCTGGGAACCCCATCAGTCTCAGCCCCAGCACCCTAAGATCCTGACTTGCACAGTACACCTCAGAGTCCCAAACCCCTAGTCCTTTATCCTGCTGGTCCTCACCTTGTTCAGCTGAATTCCCTGCCGGATTTGATCCAAAAGAGCCCCTCGACCTCCACCAGGGGCCAGGCCCCCCACAGGCCCCAGAGTAGGAGGGACTGGGGGAGGTACTGGTCCATACCCAGAGCTGGGTGGTGGTGGTGGCGGCGGAGGCGGTGGTGGCGGTGGCGGCGGCAAGGGTGGGCCCCCAACTCCAGGGGGTGGAGGGGGCAGTGGCCCAGAACGTCCTGCGGCTGGTGGGGGTGGTGGTGGAGGGCCCCCTCGGCCTGGCAGTGGGAGTCCCCGCGGAGTTGGCGGGGGCGGTGCACCTCCCAAAGGTACAGGGGGCAGTGGACCAGAACGACCCTTGTTACTCCCCACAGAAGGGGGCCGGGGAGGCTGGTTCCCTCCTCGGGATGGCGGTGGGGGTGGTGGAAGCGGCTCTGAGGGGGGGAAATAACACAGCTATTATTATACTTTCCTTCCAAGTCTTTTGCTCATTTGTAAAATAGGTACCCAACTAACCAACTCCCAATTCAAGCAGTAGAGAGGTTTCCATAAGAACTGAACGACTACAGTGTGTATCTTTTGAAAGTCAGCTACTAGGGTTGGAGAAGAAGGGGGTGTCCAGAAGGAGGGACTCACCCTGGCGCCTCATTTCCTTCCTCACAGCTTCCAGCCCACCCTGATCCTCAATGAAGTCATAGATAAGTTTGGAGGTCTCAGCATCAGTGAGCTGAGCCTCACTGATTCCTGCCCTAGAAAACAAGCTCCGCAGATCCGGGTCTAGGTTGTTCACCTGCCCAGGAGAAAAAAGTCAGGGGTGGGGTGGGTGAACAAGGTGGGGAGGGAAGGGGCAGGGGTTATCATTGGGCCCACCCCAGAGAGGAATCTGAGAGGGGTGTGGGAAGGGCGGGGTCTGGGAATAGGTCTGATTCCTGGACTATGCAAGGGTAGGTGGAAGTTGAATGGGGTCTAGGGGACTTTGGAGTTACTCACGTCAAATCCATTCTGGGGGTCCCACCCCACATGGCTGACATGTCTAGGTGAGAAGAAGAGACCCCAGTGAAGCCCCACTGCCCTTCCTTCCCTGTCTTCCTAGTGAAGCCCTCCTGCCCTTTCCTGCCAAGAATTAGTGAAATGAGCCATAGTGAATGAATGAGAGCAGTAGCTATGGAATTAGAAGGGGTCCGTAGTTTGTGGTGCCCATCTGTCCGTTTCATCCCTTTTTCCACCATCTATCCATCCATTCATTTGTCCACCTAGCCATTTACATTCACCCGCAGACCGCTGATCCGTCATATATTTCTCTCCACTTCTCTGCCCACACACATTTGTTTACCCATTTGTCTACCACTGCTCTCACACACACTTGTCCATTCACCTATCCATCTACCCATGTACCCATGTTTCCATCCATCCACTCATTTGCCTCCATTCAACCACACACTTCTGTCCATTTATCCATTGAACTGTTCATTCATCCACATATCTGGCCACCTATCCATCCCCATCCACCTTGTCTGTGGGCCAATCAGCTATATGTCCATCTGTCCACACACTCATTCACACACCCATCCTTCTGTCCTCCCACTTCCCATTTACCCATCCACCCATCCATCCAACCACCTATCCATTTATTCTGCAACCCACCCATTCATTTATTCATTTCATTCATTCATTCGTTCATCTATCCATCTACCCACCCATCTATTCATCCACCAGCCCACCCAGGTTACGACTAGGGTGAGATGAGCAAGATGCCTAGGGTACAAAATTTAAGGAGGCACTCACTCTCAGAGTCATGAATTGCACTTGCATGACCCTGAAACCATCTGTAAATTTTGCAGCCTTCATGCCTCACTTGCCTCTCCCTAGTTCTGGCCTCTCACCCACCCCCGCATCCGCTCATCTACCCTCATGCCCACCCATCCATCTGCCCATCCTTCCATCCACTTAGTTCTGCTCCTGTCAACCTGTTCATCTGCCTCCGTCCCAGGAATCTGTGGGCCCGCTGAAGAAAGGTTCTCACTTGAATCCGCTGGGTGCACCAATATCAGCCTTTCTGATCTTTTTCTTCCCTGAGCGTTTCTTATCAACTGGGCCAGGCCCAGGCACCGGGATCCCACGGTATCGTGAATTTGTGATGTCTGGGTTCTGGATGTCCACTGTTGCCAGTCCCAGAGACGGTGGGCCAGCTGCTGGGCCTGTGGGGAAAATATGGTTACTAAACCATTGACCTACTTACCTACCAACCGAAGCACAGGGGCAAGAGACGGGAAGACTGTTGAGGAAATCTGTGCGTATGTTTGATGGTCATGGAGGTAGTGGGTGAATGATCCAAGAGGGGTTTATGGAGAAGTGGATGGGTGGTTCCCACAAACCACTCATATATTTCATTAACTAATTCATTTATTCATTCACTCATGCTTATCACTTCAGTATTGACTCATTTATTCACTGGCTCATTAACTAATTAATTTGTTAAATTATTTGTTCACTCATTCATTCACTCAATCATTGCTTTCTTTGCTGATTGAAACGTTTAAAAAACATTTTATTTACTTATTTTTAGAGATGGGAGAAAGAAGGAAGAAAGGGAAAGAGAGAAATACCATGTGTGAAACATCCATCTGTTGCCTCTTGCACACCCCAAACTGGGAATCTGGTCTGAAAGCCAGGCATGTGCACTCTCCAGGAATCGAACCGGCAACCTTCTGGCCTGAGACCACCACTAAATCTACTGAGCCACTCCAGCTAGGGCTGATTGAAATTTCACGTAGCTTTTTTCATTTGTTCACTGTTCAGTTCATTCAATCATTCATTCATTCTTTAATTTACTCAATCATCCCTCCATCCATTCATCCACTTATCTGTATAGCAATTCACCTATGCATCTATATATCGATCTATATTTCATCCTCCCATCAGTTCATCCCCTCACTCAACCACCTATCCACCACCATTGCCTCTACCCACACATCCATCCACCCACCCACCCATTCATTCACCCACTTATCTCTGCACCCACCAAATTACTCACCCACCCATCCACTCCCCACCCACCTGTCCAAGGAAGAATTAGCACTCACCCCCTTGCTCTCCACCTGGGTGCGGGGACAGGGGTGGGAGCCCTCCTCTTCTCTCTGGGAAAATGGAATCGGTAGAGAGCTCTGACAACCCCCTCACAGGTTCCTGGGCTAGCCCCTTATTACCCCTCCTTACACTAGAGGACTCACCTTCATTGGCTGGTGCCGGTGGTTGCGGTAGGTGGCGTCTGTCTGTGGAGAGACAGGTAGACTAGGAACCAGAACCATGAGAGGGGCTTTTACAGCTCTCCACTCTTGCACTCACCTCTGCCCAACCTCTTTTCCTCCCCTAAGACCTCCTCACCTCCACTTTGCCTCTGATTCGTTTTTTGTATCTTCTCTTGCACCAGGGCCTGGAAGGCCTGGGCCTCGCTCTCATCTGCAAAGTTCAGCCCCACTTGGCAGTCCTGTGCACACCTTGGAGTCAGCAGGCTTCCAGGACCCCCATACCTTTTCCATCTCCTCCCCACACCCCGACTGAGGTCCAGGGGTTGGGCGGTCACTTACGTCTCCAGCGAACGTGTGGAAGAAGGGGGTGGGAGTGGAATAAACCAGCTGTGTGTACAGCTCCTGTTCCCAGAGCAGCAGGCCTTCCTGGAGAGGTGGGGGACACACTGGCACTGAGGCATGCCCTGGGTGGCAGGTCTCTGTTATCTGGGTAGGGAGCACGGTGTCCACATTTGGGGCCCCAGGATCTGATCTGGATATTTCCAACTCAGCATCCAAGAGTTGGACGTCTAGGGTACAGGTGTGAAGGGATTTCTTACAGTATGGGAGTTAGATACCACAGTAAGAGATTTGGATTCGGGGTTTGTGGCCCTAGATGTGGGATTTGGGGGCTTGAATTTGAGGGTTTGGAACTCCACTCCTGAGAAACTGAGCCCATTTCAGACTCCATCCCACATTCTCCCTTCATTTGGGCAGGCAGGGCTCCAGTATTGGGAGTTGGGGTTGAGATTTGAGGTTCAGACATATAGACTTGGAAGTTTTGGGGGAAGAGTTCAGCCAACATATGTGCAATTTGAAGTTTGTGGAACAGAGCTATGGCTTAGGAGTTTGATTAGTATTTGATGGCTCTGCGATCTTGATATGGTTATGCTGGGTTCATCTTTATGGGTTTAGAAGTATGAATTTGGGGTATGTGCCTGCGGAGTTCAGGTTAGGGGTTTGTAGAACAAATTTAAGAATTCTGGGGCCCATGCTGTGGGGTTAAAAGGGCAGATTTGGAGTTCAAGACTCAAGGCATATTTAGGTTTGGGGTTTGGGGAAGAGATTTATGACTTAGGAGCTAAATAAACATCTGTAGTTCAGGAGTTTTGATGGGGAATTTCTGGGGCCCAAAATGTTGAATTTAGAGTAGATTTGAGTTTAAGGTAAAAATATAGTTACTCATCTTTTAGTTTGTGGGATACATTAGATTTAGGCGGTATACTAATATGTGGAGCGGGGGTTACAGACATTGACATGGAGACTCCAGGATCAGCCATTGCAGGTTTAGAAGGGCAAACCAGAATTTGATGTCTGCATGAATTCTTTGGTTCTGGGGCCCAGGGGTTCATTGATCTGTCTGAGGGCTCAGGGCTATGGACACAGATCTAGGTTTGCAGGTCGAAAATGGGTTTGCATGTGCAGTGGGCGGCGGGGATTACCTGAAGGCTGTAAAGGCGGATGAAGTAGGACTTCTGGGGGTTATCCTTCACGAAACACACAGCCCCACAATGATCCTTGGTCCAGCGCTCAGCTCCAGGGGGCAGCGCCAGGTACAGCTGAACAACTGAGGTGGCCAGTGTCTGGGAGGGGAGAGCAGGGCTCAGTGGAGTGTGGTTGGGGCAACCAGAGGGTCTGGGAGCTAGACTTGGTCTTTCCTTGCCCATGGCTGTTGTGACCCCCAAGGAAGAGCCACGAGCAGAGAGAGAGTGAGTAAACATGAAGATCTTCCTGGGATTGTTGAATGAGGGTAAGCGGATTCTAAGAGAGGTGATGATGGAGAGGGAAAAGAAGAGGGGAAGAAAGAGGAGGAGAAGAATGGGGAAGATGAGGAGAAAGGAAGGGGAAGAAAGGAGGAGAGGGGCAGGATTCAAAAAAGGAGGAGCAGGAAGAGGAGGAGAGGAAGAGGAGGAAAAAGAGAAAGACAGGGAGGGGCAGAAGTTCCCCAGCTCACCCAGCATTTTCTTCCCAGCATCTTGAAGAGTCGCTGGTTCTCCTGGTCATGGAGGAGGGTGGAGGCGATGTTCTGCTGAGCTGCTTGTCCTCCGCGGCCCCCAGGCCTGCCTCCCACAGGGCCCCCACTCATGGTGCCTTCTGCCCTTGTCCTCTCCAGCTAGTCTCTGGGTGCAGGGTAAGAAGAGGAACTTCCGCAGTGAGCAGGGGAACAGGAAGTGCAAAAAACCACAAGAGAAACAAGTCCTCCAGAGGCCCCTCGGTGGGCCTGGGCTCCTCCTCCCTAGGAAAGGCTTGGACACTCTGCCCTCAGACTGGGGTCCTCCTCCATTTGACTGGTTAGACCCATCTTTTGGATGAGTTCATGTCCTGTTCCTTCTTTCTTGCTCTCTGGGGCCCATCTCCGTCTGACTGGCTGAGATCCTGCTCCCTCTGATTGTTTGGCAGCAAGAGCTAGGCCACTACAGCACTTCTGTAGGGTGCTCTGCCATAACTGGGAACAGTCATGGGGCTGAGAGGCCTCCTTCCTCCCCAAAGTATCCAGTTAGCTCAGGCCTGAGGTCCAAAGCCCCGAATGCCAAAGGGTTACCGAGCTAAAACTTTTCCTTTAAGTACACGGTGAGTGGTGTGTGTCCCTGGGATCCCACCCCTCTCCTGAGACCCCAACACCTGGCTCTCTTCCCCATCCCTTATCCTTGCCTTCCCACAGCTCCCAAATTACTTTCTGCTTATCATCCCCTTTTTTTCAAGAAAGGAATGCCTAAACAACATCTTGTTTCATTTTCATTGCTTTTGAACTTTTAAAGTATGTTATCTTCAGAGACTTGTTTTTTCCCACTCAACATTCTATCTGTATCTAACAAACATTCATGTAGCACTGAGTATGTGTGCCAGGCACCATTCTGACCCCTTTGTAAATACTGACTCACTTAATTCCTCAAAACAGCCTGTGGGACACACAAAATCAATATGTCTGTTTGACAGAGGAAAACGAAGGAACTCAGGCACAGAGTGGTTGAGTGATCTTCCCATTAGCTCCCAGCTAGCAAGTGGGAGAGCCCAGGTCGCATGCCAGGCTGGCTAGGTCCAGGGAGCACACTTTTCATCACTATGCTCCGCATCTTCTCTTTGCCTGTTACTAAGACTTGTATTTGCCTATAATGGTAGTTGATTTTTACAGCTATATAGTGTGACTGTGCAACTTGTTTATTCATATTCTCCTGTTAACAGCTGTTCCTGGCTGCTGCTGCTGGGAGCAATAGTGCCGTGTTCACTCCTGTACACATTAACTGGTCCATACAGGCATGCATACTCTTAGGAGGGGAGTCAAGAGGATAGAAGGTTTGCATATCTCTCATTTTACCAGATAATGCCGGATTGTGTCCCCAAGTGAATGCTAGTTCAGTCCCCACTCTTCCCTGGGCCTCAATCTCCCATTTGGGGACACAAAGCTCTCAGGCACACATAGAGCAGTTTGGGGGAGCTGAGCATGTCTGAAGTGTGACTGAAATTCCTGGGTACCTGAAGGGAAGTAAGAGATCTCAAGGTGAGACCCACAGTGTTGCCTGGAAACCAGGTTGGCTCCCCATGAAGGTAAGTTCAAAGCTTCCCTCCTAAGCCTGGGCTCAAAGTGCTTTCTGGTGTGGCAGTTCCAACCTCCCTCCCACTTCTCCCAGACCCTCACAACTCAGCTTATGGTGACCCCAACTCACCAGGCAATTTCCTACCTCCAGCCTGTCTATTGAGGCAAGCCACTGCTTTTCCCTAAAAAGCCAATGCATTCATTCATTTTAACACTGCTCATTGAGCTCTCACTATGTACAAAGCATGTCTCCAGTATCTGGCACAAACTAGACACTCAATAAATGAAGAAATGAGTGAGGGATTAATGTCTAATTGATTTAATATTTTCTGAGTTTTTCTAAGTACCTTACTTTATTAATTCATTTCATATTCACAGGTGAGGCCAGGAGATAAACACAACTGTCAACTCCATTTTACTGATAGGGAAGCTGAGGCACAGAGCTTAGCCAGCCTGCCTGAGATCACACAGCTTGTGGAGCTGAAGCTAATTACATGAATTCCTAAACTGATATGTGCCACATGGGGGCTGAGATAAAATTCTTCTGCTCCTTCTCTGCATCTTTTGTTCTCCACCTTCCCACTCCTTTCTCTGCCCCTACCTTTTTCCTCTTTAAGTCTACATCAGGGGGCCTTAAATCTCTGTTAAATTTGCTGGTTCTTTTTCAAATTAACATTTAAATGTATATTTCCTGTTCTTACTTCTAAGTAGCAGACAGGTTTAAAATGTATATTTTCTCTAAATTAAAAAAAAAAACAACCCTAAAGTACATTTTCGTTATTTGAGTCCCTAATAGAATGGGTTTCTCCATTTTGGAATACAGTGACTTATTAATCATCTTAATACCATTTTTCATATTATTCGGATTATCGGATTACTGCTTACCTATATTAATAATTTGTAGCTGGTTTATTTTACTTTTATGTGCCCCGTCCACTCTTGCTTTTCTGCACTGAATGACTATTTGGGGAGGTGATGACCTCAAAGATACTTTGCTCTCCTGGGCCTTCAGATAGATTTAAAAAGAACAAAACCTTAATCCAGCCTTTCTAGTTGTCCTCAGCAGGAGTGTGGGTAGAATACAAGTCGGTTCACCGCAGCTGGGAGCTGTTCTAACTTAATTCTTTTTTTAAAGACTTTATTTATTTATTTTTAGAGAGAGGGGAAGGGAGGGAGAAACATCGATGTGTGGTTTCCTCGTGCGCACCCACAGGGGACCTGGCCTGCAACCCAGGCATGTGCCCTGACTGGGAATCTGACTGGCAACTCTTTCATTCACAGGCCGGCACTCAATCCACTGAGCCACACCAGCCAGGGCTAATTCTTAGTAATCCAGTGAATGCCCAGGAACCCCAAGAATTAGGATATGCCCAGTAACTTACACCTACCTCCTCACTACTTCCTCTTGCCAACTCCCCACCCCCAGGGGTCACCAGATAGAGAGTCACTTCTTCTTTATATCTTGTGCTTAGTTTGCTTTATTTTGAAAGGGTGTTGCCTACAAGATCAACTGCCACACCTCAAGCCCTGAGTAGGTAAGAAGACACAGTTTGTGAGAAAGGCATGGGGGTATCTTCCATATTGGGGTGATCACCATGTGATTGAGTCCATGAAGGAGACGTAGGCACCCGTGGGGTCCTACCGCTGTCTGCTAAGACCAAACTGAAGCCGAGATGGCAGAATTTCCATTGCCCTGCCATCCTTCTCCTCCCCTTACCTTCCTGCCCCTCATGGTCCTCTGTACCCTGAGGGGTGCTTCCTGGGAACAGTCCCAACATAGGGAAACAGCAGTTCTCAACCCTCCAACCCAACGCTCCCTTTTAATAAGAAACATGTTGGGAGGCCTCCTTTTATTGTACCACCCTGGAATGACATTTGTGTACCTTACAAGTCTTGGTGGTGTGCAGCTGTCCCCCAGCATCTCAGGCCCTGCTCATTCAATGCCAAGGCACCTCCATCACTCTGACAACAAAAGTCTGCCTACTAGGTATTCCCAAAACACACCCCCAGGGTAGGAAGGAACAGAACCCTTGTCTGTCTTGTTCATTGCTGTATCCACCATCCTAGAACAGGACCCTGCATGCAGAAGCTCAACCAGTATTTGTTAAATAATCATTGTACGGTCTAGATTTCTCTGCTGTGATTTACTGTCCTCTGCACAGGGCTTCCCCTGTCATCTCTTCATCCCCATGCCTGGGGAAAGGGGAAAGAAAAGCTCAGAGCACGCAGAGGCCAGCTCCTCCCGCAGACATGTTTACACTGTTCACTGATGCTACAGGCAAATGGGTGCTTCAGGGACTTTCAGGGGAGGTGCTGATGTCTAGTCCTTGTGGGACGGAGTGAGATCAGGATACGCGCAGAAAAGCAGAGACAGCTGTAGAAATAATAATGGCTCAATGCTTAGCACCACAGATTCTGGAGCCCTACAGCCTTAATCTGGCACCAGCTGCTTAAAGTCTGGTAACCTCTCTGCCTCAGTTCTCTCATCTCTAAAGTGAAGGCAGTAATATCCCTGGCTGGTGTGGCTCAGTGGATTGAGTGCCAGCCTACGAACCAAAGGGTCGCTGGTTTGATTCCCAATCAAGGGCACATGCCTGGGGTGTGGGCCAGGTCCTCAGTTAGGGGCCATTGATGTATCTCTCACACATCAATGTTTCGCTCCCTTTCTCCCTCTCTTTAAAAAATAAATAAATAAAATCTTAAAGTGAAAGTAGTAACAGCAGTTAAGGTTGTTGAGAATAAATTAGATAGTTCGTGTATAGTGATCAGTACAGAGCTTAACATGTTATGTGTTGTTTTTTTTATGAAATAGCTAAGTTGGATAAATGAACTGTCATCCCTTCAGCCTAGCATTTTCCGTGTTCCCCCTGTCCTTTCCTCGTCCTCCTCCATCAGACTTTCTGGTCCCACCACCCCTGGCAGACAGTCACTGCCCTTTCACTACTTCCCCCGGCTGCAAAGCCCATCTCAGAGACCTATTCTGTGGGCCCGCCCATCCAGACTCTTCCAGGGCTCTGACATGTTCCTGGAGCCCTCCCCGCCAACCTCAGCGGTCTTACCCATTACGATTCCCACTCTAACTCCCCCCACCTGTACAGGAAATCACTGTGCCAGCCAGCCAGCCCTCTCCTTCCCTTCTAGGTTAGTGGCTGCTAGCCATGGAGCCAGAGGTCCCCTCCTACTTCCTACACTGCCCACACCCTCTAGGTCACAATCAACTCTCCCTAGATGGGTGTTCTCTACATCCCTGCACCCCAATCTATGTGACTCCGAGTGTCCACACCCAAGCGTGTGACCCCTCATGCTATCTACTCCCTAATGTGTACGACCCTATGAGTGTCCAGATCCCTGTGTGTATGAGTCAAGGAGTACCGAGATCCCAGTCTGTAGGTCCCACAGGCTGCCCACACCCTCAGCTAAGTGATCCAAGGAGTGTTAACGCTGCAGCCTGGAATGGACCACAGGTGGTGTGGGGAGGGACCCAAAATGGAACTGTCCGCCTAGGATCGCACCACTGAGGTGGGGGCGCCCATATTGTAAGACCATTTTGTTTTGGGGGAAGGAATACGACGGCTGCTTCG